TGTATAGATAAATTTTGATAAACAAAAGCGTAAACATAATTCAACACGAAACGTAAACAATTTGATTGCATTCGACATGGGAAAATATCGTGAATTAAACGAGTTTGAACGTGGACAAATTATTGGTTTACAAATGCTGGAAGTCCCATGAAGCTATAGCTCGTGTTCTAAAGTTTCAAAAAGCACTGTTACGTATACGAAGGCGCGGGAAACGCTCTGTACAGCCAACAAATCTTCATAAACTTGAAAAGGTACTACAAGAAGAATGGAGAAAAATTCCACCTAAAACTTATACTAAACTTATTGAAAGCATGCCACATAGAATTAAAGCATGCATTAGGAGCTTACAGAATATTAAATGTCATGTTTGTGTTAAAAAATTAAATAAATAAAATATTTATTTTGTTGACCAAATACTTTCCCGACATGCACATACACCCCCTTGACAAAAGTATAAGTACAAGACGAAATTTTACTAGTAAAACACATGAAAACTCTTTATTTTCGAAAATCTCTATCGTCCATACGTACTATGTAACCCACAATGATTTTGGTACCATTTTGAAGCTAATTGACTGCATTTTTCGAAAAAAAATGGTGTGGAATTTAAATTAGTTACTGTAATAAAGAAGTAGTTCGATAAAATGACGGCACTATGTTACACATATGATTTCATATGTGTAACATAATTTTGCCACTTTCTCGAACTAAAGCTTTGAAACGACAACAGGACTAAGTATATAATAATTTTTTCTGAAAAATACAATTAATTGGCTTCAAAATGGTACCAAATTATTGTGGGTTACATAGTACGTATGGACAATAAAGATTTTCGAAAATAAAGAGTTTTCATATGTTTTACTAGTAAAATTTCGTCTTGTACTTATACTTTTGTCGGGGGGGTGTATGTTAGTCATACTGTATCAATTCCATAATTCTCACGTATTAAAAGCTAATTATTTGTTTCAGCAAAAAAGAAATAAGCTTATTGCAATCTGAACTTTTCGTTCACTATTTTTTTTTTAACATTGGGAATAATACTGCTTATTGATCGAGAGTATTTAATCTTTTTTTTCCTGACAACCCCTCTGACAAATATGGAGTATAATCATCAGAGAATTAATTTCACGATAGCAGTATGACAAGTTTATTAGATTCGGTTCACTATAGACAGCGTCACCTGAATGTCGGTATTTTCTGCACCAGAAGGTCAGGCCGCAGTTTTGTTATCATAAGTAGATCAACGGCTTTATTGTCAAGCTACGTGCTAACGATAGATTCCTAACTTTTAGAAATAAACGTATTTTCATCACTATTACTATAGTATCGAGAATTCCATTCCATATTCTAACCATGTCTTTACCAATCATCATTAGTACCAATGACATCATTAATGTAATTCTCACGTACAAGTATTGTATGATACAGTAGAACAGTTGCTATACACGCACTACTAGTGTTCTGGCATTTACGTAACTGTTCTTCCTCATGTCCTTGGTGCCATCATTTCCTTCTTTCTATTTCACATCTGTTCCGCTCATGCTCTCATGCTTCTCTCATATTAATATGGTCATGTATCATCCAACTATGTAACTACTTTTATCATAACTCAAACCCTTCTATTCTCCTCCTCTCAAACAATTCCGGTTTACTGCTTGTCTCCTCATTTTTGCTGCTCTCTGGACCATTTAGACAGACTATACTTCTTATGCATTCTCACATTCTCCTCTTTCCTCCTCAGATCAATCTCTCAATTTTTTATTATCATTCCTTATAACATATAGACACTTACATCCTACCATCATCTTATACTCTCATTAGAATTCTTCCATGTATGGCCTTCCTGTTGGCCACTTCTTTATTTCACCTCTGACTCTTACTGTTATGTTAAAACTAGCTTTAGCGAGCCTGTCAACAGGATACCGTAGCTTGGAAATAAAGTCGCATTAATATCGTAGTATACACACAATCGGCATCAGAAAGTAAATTGGTCATGGTCTTTTATACGGATGCGTCGGCTGGGTTTATTTTGATCCGACACAAGATCAACTGGAAACATTCGAGTCTAATACAAAATATCCAAGCATTGGGAGTAAAGAACTTGAGAGAACATATACTGAATTTTATTCTAGTTCAGCGCCCTTCAAAATAATTTTTTTTTTCTGTATTGAATAATTAATAAATTGTCAGGCTTACTGTCAGAGACTACGTTCTTTTCTATTTTTTAACTCTGCTCATTCTTTAACATTTTGCAACATTAAGTCCTTATTACTTTTTAAGTGTATAGTAAGGGTTTTTCCATAACAAACGGGCAACTGAGAAGAAACATGTACGATTTACATAAATTGTAAAGCAATCGCGTGTCGTCGTTCGTATATTTGTAAACGTATTAGAAACCTTACAAAGTGGCAACATAATATACTGGCTGTAGTATTCAATTGTATTGAACAATTCAAAGTGTCATGCAACAAGATGTTACCAACCACAATAAACAAGTAAAAAGACTTCGAAATCTAATTTTCGTTCTTACACAAGAAGTCTAAAAAAATATATTATTGAATAGGCAAAACATTTGGTTTGTTGAAGTAATGGTCAAAAGCCTCCTCGGCGCCTAAAAACTAATATCTCATTCTAAATGAGATAGCGATGACATTATGAAATTATTGTCTATACGCTCTCTTCCAATTTGATATTAATAGTCTTCATTTTTAATGAATTTATCTTAGTATATTGTTCTCGTTTTTTCTCTAATTTCAAGCTTTCGCACGAATTTGCCTCCAAACTTTCTTTACGTTTAGGCTTTATGTCCCTCAAATACTCTGCCAATCGATTGAACCGATCTTCTTGAGCTTGTTTCGTTTCAAATATCGTTGCATGACATACATTTCGTCAACTACGCTACTAGAAATAGCCGACAATTTGAATACACATTACGAAATTATGCAAGAAAGCGACACAGTCTGAGGATTTAATTTCTATGCCATAAATTTTGTATTAGCAGCATTATTAAGACTAATGCATTCTTCGAATTTGACCGTTCTTATCCGATTTGTCGCCTTTATCGGAGCGTTTAATCCAATCGACTATCATAACACCCCATAATGCCTCGGCCTTTCTTAGCTTGTTTGCCTCTGACCGGCTGGTATTTGTAGTTGGGATATTTTATAGCGTGTTGCATTTTAGCGACTTCATATAGATTCCGCCAACTCTCTGCAGCGACACGAGAATATTCGGCAACTGATAATGTATTTCCTTCTCGGATGAATCTGGCCCTTATATCTTTTCATATAACATGAAGCAATTCTGTGGACGCGGGACGCCCTTGGATCTTTTCTTTTCTAAAGAAATCCCACCCCACGCCATAATTTGTTGAGAGGTAATGTAGTATGGATATCTCGTCGGACTTCTTCTATCACTTCTTCAGCCACCTGGCTGAATTGTAAACACTCGGAAGTAGAGTCGGACGATTGGCTGCTCGGGAGTTCTGACATGGTGGCTGCTAGCCCCAAGTATAAGAGGGAGCGGTTAGGCTAATACAATAAGTTTACGATAGTTTGTTGAAAAAGGGTGTCAGAGAAAATAAACGTAAATTGGAAGGGGTGTACAAGAGAAAGGATTCGGAATTGGCTGTATTTTTTACGAGCAGCTCAAAATTGGGGTTTTACTATCATCCTCGCCAAATCTTATTCCATTCAGCTGAACCTTTCCTTCGTAAGGAACTGCATATAAATATTCATCCAGACCTGTATCTGTTATAACCTCGACCCCTGCCGCCGTCTTCTCTAGATAGAACAGAGCTTTGTTGAAGAATTATGCATAATATATTTATCTGCACTTTGAAATTTCCTCATAGTTGTTCAATTACAAAACTTTATTAATTTCGACTTCAGCATTGTTACAACAAAAAATAAAGTGTTGCTTTATTAATACAAAAAACAATAAATTTCTTAAAATACATTATGGCATACACAATCCGCATCGATTAAGATACTAGTTGATAATGCTACCTAATTTTTTATAACTTGGTGGATTATGCTCATCTTGAATATTTAATTCCCAACAGCGCGCAGACTTTAAACCAGCATCTTCGTGACTTATTTCACTTCCATCTATTAACACAGGAATAAGAGTGATTCGTCTATGCAAATCATTTTCGCTTTTTTTGGTTAAGTATGGCTTCCCTATCCGTTTGTTATCCTTGTTAATAAGATGGAGCCTTTGCATGCATGCAGTAATGTCAATGCTGTCGTTCACAACCATTTCTGGAGTATCGTCACAATTATCACAATGTGTCGTTCTATCACGAGCAAAAATTGATATAAACCCAGCAAAATAAGGACTGGTAACTGAGGTTGGTGATTTGGTTGGCAAATCAATGAATGCCCGAATTTCAAACGATGAGCCAACATAATTCTTCTTGACACTTATAGTGATTTTATATATGAAATTCCTGTTTTTAGAAATGAAAGATAAATAATTGATTTGAATAAGCGAAAGGCAATAAATAAAACAATACTTACGATTTGGGAACAGGTTGATAATAAATTAGCATATCTTCCTTAAGATGTGGGTTAGGCTTCTCAAGTTCAGGATAAGTGTATTTGAGCTTATCTTTTGTATCTCTAATTTGAAAAGTATTATTCATTATTTTTGTTAAAATAATTTTAAAGTTACTACTTACCTAATATCACGTGAGGTCCAATAGCCACGTTCGGAATTTTTAAAAGGCCTAAGAGAGGTATTTTCATCCCTGTTATCCTCTTCAACAATCCAACTATTAGGGTAACAAGCTTGCCAAATGGCAGTAAGACGATCCACATTTGCATGATGAAGGAAAAATATCGGATCAAAACCTGCAGTTTCAACATATGCCATATGACCACCTGTTCCACCAATTTTATTATGAACAGCATTATGAACGCCCTCAATTGATGAATACTCCTTATATTCACCCTCTGGGCTCCTTCTTGAACCGTTGTTGCTGAAATTCGCCCACTTATCAACTGCACTAATAAGATGCCAAATACTTGGACGAAATGTGGAACTGCACGAAGTGATAATATCAAGACTAATGGAATTTACATTGGAAAGGTACTCTTCGTTTGGATGTCTGACAGTTGCATATCCGACTGGTGTATAAGGGTAATGTGACGCATCCGGGATATATGGCCTTTGTGTTGGGTTAGAAGTGTCACCAACAAGTCCTAAGATTCCAAGATTTTCTGGAAGCGTGTATGCACGAAGAGGATTCCGAATCCTTTCAGTTGATTTCACAACTTCACCATCTGATTCCTTTAGAATATTAACATAAACATGTACTTGAAATAAGATTGAAGGTATTCCTTGACAGAGAACAGATGGACTAGCCCAATCCCAGTATGGAAACCGAACTTTCTTAAGTCCATCTATGTAAGGCTGTTTTTTATCGCCATCAGGATAACTGAAAGTAAAATAATAATAACGTAAATGCATAGTGAATGATATAAAAATGAAGGAAATATCAATTTTCTTACCCTTCTACGATTGTTTTTGCTTCATTATATATGAGCATTTCAAGATATGAGACATATGCACGATGCCAAGTAGGAAAAAGAATTGTATTGTGCTCACAATAGTCGTGGTGTATTCCTGCAACTTTGTAAAAAGACTCAATCTTATCGGACTTTTTTTGTTGAACTTTGGCAAAACCTTGAAGGAACAGATCCCTTTGTATCTTATAAATTTCCTCTGACATTAGCGCCTCGATAGGAAGACGACTTTCGACATTTTCTGATAAGCGAAAACGTGCTATGAGATTAAAAATCACTACAACGATAATTTATTGTTTCCTGGCTTACCGAAAGGCGGTATCAAAATAACATCATCCGTCATTTTCAGCAATTGTCTGGATATATTAAAGACAAAAACAGCAGTGGTTTATATACCCATCAATCTAATCTGATGTTACTTCTTCGGTGTTACTTACTGTCATCTTATTTTTTACGCCCATTATTAATCCAGATAACTTCCTGTAACAAAACTCACACGAAGAATTTTTCTGCATATCAAAGTTTCAATAGAGACAAAAGCGGTTTGCATATGAGAAAATTCGCTTGGTCCGTCTTATCTGCATGCATATTAGTAAAGATGCCAAAAATGCAAAGTGAAAATTTTTTAGAAAATTATTGTGCAAGGCTTCAATGGAGACAAAGACGGTTTGCATATGGGAAAATTCACTTGATCCGTCTTATCTGCATGTTAGTAAAGGTACCAAAACAGTTTATAACGAGGTGGTTCCGTAATTTGACCAATTAATTCTCGGAATTGCTCCTCATGTACTCAAAAAATAATAATTTGCGCGGTACGTGGGAAAATGCAAAGTGAAGAAAATTATTATGCAAGCGACAGATCAAATGACTTGCCGTTGATGTAAAGATGCTGGATAAAACTTCTCAATGAGCAAGATATGACAAGTGTAACTTACCAAATTTTACCAGCAATTATGTCTTCAACTAATTTAGAAAAGATGCTGACCCTCGATAATGCTTTAATACCACTTTGCGATGGCTTTCACGGTTTTTGTGTTTCTTGATTTTTGTAGTTTCTCGACTGCTGAAAAGTTAACATTTTCTCAAATTTATATAGGTAATAGAAGTTTGTAATTTATGGGACGATACTCTCAAAATGATATCATTTTTTGGTTCTATGGGCGATCGTTTACTCAAGAGATTTTCAAAATGCTTGATGCACAGATAGACCTTAACCATAGACCTGCATAATGATTGTCTCACATCCCATTTATAGAAGCTTGTATAACTGCAGATACACATCATTTGATGGAAAAGTGATCTGTCGTTTGCATAATAATTCTCTCACATAAGGAATCCGATTCCGAATTAAGGCATATAGTAATAGCATATATGAGTAGATGCATAAAGTGAAACTTCTGTACAAACTACCTCGTCTCCATTGAAGCCTTGCTGACATGCAGATCAAGATGTGGAAATGCTTCATGTGAGACATCATCAAAATTTGGGGAGGGTTAAAATCAAAGATGCGCAATGTATTCTTTTCAAATTGCTCGCAAACTCGAGAATCCAATTTTTCTAACCTTAAACCTTAAACATAACTCCCAGATCGGTTATAATTTTCGGACCACGAACTGGTAAGTGGACCGAAAGTCCCTCTATGCAGGCTTGCACAATGCTTTTCTCACGTATCATCACCGCATATCGATATTGATTACATGCATTTTGAGAGTTTCATTGATACATGAATAGGCTTTTTCTCCATTGACGTGCTTTTTATCAACATGCGGACTCCATTTGAATTTTATTACTCGAGATCAAAGATATCTGTGAATGAGTTTCTATATTAGTAAATGGGAACTATGTTTGTAATACTACCGATACCCAATATTAATATGATTGCCATCTGATCATCTGTGTGACTTCCACAAATATGTTTATAATAATTTCCTACATTTTATGTAGATATACTAATACTTCCGGCGAAAATTGACAATGGCCTAAAACATACTAGCCGAAACTTTCTTTAGGATAATATGTAGACTGGGCTTCTGATGGTCCTGACTTAAATCCAATAGAGAATCTCTGGAGTATTGTTAAAAGAATTTTAGAGAAGAAAGATATTAGTGATTTTGCAGCGTTTTACGGTCAAAGAGTGTGCATGATATTCTGCAATCAACCCTAATTGAGTCAATGAAACGCCGATGCGAGCTTGTCATAGAAAGTCACGGTGAACGTATTTTATACTATTTTTTTTTTTTTTTTAATAAATCTGCTGGTTTCAGCTTTCAATATAATAATAATTTATCTTGTTGATTCTTGCGTAATGTGCAATTTCGTAAAGAAAAAGACAAAAAAAATTGAAAGACTGAAAATAAAAAATAAAAAATGAGAAAAAGACTGTTTTTGTCCCACACTGTATTCTGGTATGTATGACATCTTGAATTTTTACGCATTACGTGCACTTATTGAGTCTTGTGCATGAAAAATTTTTTTCTGCACGGAATATACAGAATATTGGCGCACATTTTTTTTTGCCATCACTTTGTCACTCTATTGATGTGCAGATTTACTAATATAGAAACTTATATCTTTGATCTCAGCTTTAAACCCTTATTTATGCAAGCGACAGAATCAAATGACTTGCCGTTGATGAAGATTCTGGCGATTTGTCATCAAATGATATTTTTCTCGCACACCCATCAAATTGATGTGCAGGCACAATATAAGACTTTTTTCTATATTAATATATTCACAGCAGATATTCAATGTAGTGTATTAAAACTTTCTAATGCTAGTTTCTATGAAGAACCAATCATATTCTGAGTTAGCTAATGGCGTTTGTGCCGACACCCAAAAATCGACACGGTACATACTGACACTGAAAATGCGCGACACGACGCCGTCTACCATTCTAAATCAACTTCGATCATGGGATTTTGCTTGACTGCGGAGGAAAATTTTACCATGTGACTCGCTTATCTGATTCATCAGATCGGCTTGCCGCAATATTAACGTTACCAATTTCTGGACTAATGGATTTATTGATACATATCCACTGCACCGCACTACACGAGTATTAACACTGATTACAACAAGAAGGGCGAAGTTCCCCAAAAATCAAGTTCTAGTTTTTATACAAAGATGGATTCTATCAAGCCAAAGTAGTGCAATCATTATGTTCTACATTTGTCTAATACGAAGAATGTATAACGATACTCGTATAGCCAATCTGAAATGATAAGATATTCGCAGCCAGTTAGTCATAGTACGCTAGAAACAAATAATGACAAATATCATGCGGACCGGAGTATTTAATCTGTATGGCCTGAATATATCCTTCGGTTATAGAGCGAGTATACAGTGTGTTGCGAAAAAAATGGTACACAAATAAATTGTATATCTCAACAATTACCCAACTGAGACAAATGAAAGTGGACTTGTTTTAAGGCTTATAAACTACTTTATTAATTATAAAATTTTAATACGAAGTTCTATCCTCATTTTTTTGTAATACTAGTTCACAACGATTTTTCATAGATCCGATTAAATTTTGTACAACATCCCGAGAAATTTTATCCCACTCTTCTACCATAAATTCTTTTAACTCGCCAATATCTTTAGGCATTCTTTTTTCTACATTGTTTTTAACGATCTGCCACATATTCTCGATGGGATTCAGATCATGGCTGTTAGATGGCCACTCTATTACACAAATGTTGTTTTGAGATAAAAAATCCTTCGCAACACGTGAAGTGTGCTTAGGATCATTATCTTGTTGCAGACGCCATCTTCTACCGTACAACTGTTGGCCAAACGGAAGAAGCTAGGTTTGCAAAATATTTACATAAAAGGGACCATCCATTATGTCTGTAAAGCAAAACAAGGACGTTTTGCCGTTTATCGAAATTCCATTACTCTGTGTAACCTTGGCTACCACCGATGGTCTTCGTTGCTTTGAGTTCTTAAGATTACGTTGAATAGTTCGAAGGGAATCTTTGTATTTTGGTGTATTTCTTTGGCAGAATAAATTCCATTTAGCCAATAATCTAATATTGTTTGACACTGTGCTTTGAGCTTTATGTTGACCATGTTTACAAGGTTCAAGTGAGAAACTAATCAAGGAGAAGGGCGTTTTATTTTTGCAAATGTAATTAATAACAAGTAAATAAACTTATATAAATATAGAAGTCATGTAAACAAATGCGTTTTTTTTTTGTTATTCAAAAAACTAATCTTTCAATTTACGCGCCATTTTTTTCGCAACACACTGTATAAGAACTCTGTACTATTCTTTTTGAAGTGAGGTACTAAATACAATATATGTGATAGTTGGCGCCTATCGATAATGCGATGGTAGCGCTACACATGTGAGCGAAGTGAACAACAAGCCGACGGGCGGGATTGAACCGCTGACCTACGGTACAGAATTTACAAAGGGTACAGTACATACCACAATTTTATGATCTTCGTACCATAACCACTGGGACGACGCTTTTGTGACAGTTCTGTGCCCGTTACATTATATACATTAACAGTTCGAATGCTGCATATTTTTTAAATTGCGATGACGTCGGCTTCAGCCACCGTCATCAAATATATGAAAAAGGCAGATTAGTTAAAGCATGAATTAATATTTACAACCTTTTTTATGATGAATGTAATCAACAAGAGAAGTTCTGCCACTAATGGTAGCAAGACTTAGTCATTTAGTTATTGAATTGCAAAAAGCTTAACCCTGTCCTGATTAAGTGTCAGCTATATACCAGATTTATAATACCAAATACACAGTAGAAAATATGTATGTTACAAAAAGTTGTCTAAATTTAGACTTTATGCATATAATAAAAACAAACTGTATATAATTGGTTTATATCAGATATCAAAACTGAAAACAATTACACCATCATATTATCAAACCATATTATTGTTATTATTACTGCTTTTTAAACAAGAAGTCATGCAATAAACAAAGAATTGTAACACTATTGTTCTCTACAACTATCAACCTTATATTATGAGTATCTCAGAGGATTATCATTCATCAAGCGACAGACACATATGTACAGTAAAACAGAATGAAATGGTAGTTGAAAGTTGTGCGCCCGGCTATATAAGAGAGAAGATTTAGGTGGGAGGAGAGGTTAAGACTAAGACTGAAGTCTATCATCATCAATTCTGCAAACAAATTAGTATTAGAAAGCGTACAGCACATGTGTTGTTATTTGTACTATTCTCAATTGCATAAAAAGCGCTATGCTTTATGTAATTTAGCAGACACGATAATTATACAGCAATAACTCATTTGTATCTTTAGGACGGAAGCTTTTTTGAGAACATATCTGAGATTAAGCTCTCAACACAGTAAGGTCAGCATATGCCGCCGAAGCCAAAGATTATCAGACTGAAATCCGCCATTAGAACACTAGTTGAAGTATAAGTTTATTTAATTCATGTAGATACTAATCCACCGTTAATTATACCGTTGGAACCTTGACAGGGAAAGGTGTAAGAACCTCCTCGAATATCGGTTTAAATTGTACTGCGGAATAGTTATTCTAAAATTTAAATGGTCAACAGCTAATCACGTCAGAAAGTTTTTTGGAATTTTTTTCGCGTACTTCAAGTATTAATAACTTTCCAAAATAAAAACAATACGCGTCATATTTGAAACATGTCCTAAACTGTAAAGGTGGCTGAATGGAATCACTTCTGTAAAGTAAACACATTCTGGGACTGGCATCACAATGTCAACTATCTAAAAACTGAATGAAAGAGGGGACAATTCAAGGAAGTTGGTCGTCCCAAGAAAGAGCAATAAATAGCTCATCGTAATTTACAAGAAATTTGGCAATTATAACTCGAATAAATTCACTTTAATAAAGGCATCACTGGAGGTGTGATTGTGGAGATGGAGATAGATACGTTTACTAGCGTTGAATAAAACCCAGATCAAAGATGTTAGACCGAATACGCGAAATCGATGATAACTATAATGAAGAATGGTATCAATATGAGTTAAGAGTTATATCTGCTCCTATGTGTTCATCGTTCCAGGCAAGTCTTTTGCCACAGTGCTAATGTTTTAAGTTACATTAGAGGGAGAGATCTGTTATGAGATGGCTATGCTTTAATTATTGAATTTAATGTCAAGTTTCGAGGTGGGAGTATTTCAAGACATTTGGCAAGATTGGGTTACAAAACAGTCTGCCCTAAAGATGCCTATGCTTACTGTGTTACTAATAAAGAAGCTCGTGTTAGTTAGGAACCAGACATCTCAATAATAATTGGGAGACTACATTATTTCTGATGAAACTGCCATTCAGAAATACAATAACTCAATGGTATAAGGGTGAACATCGCAAACTAAAATCTTCGCATGGGAGGATTTTGTATACACGGAAAAACTTGACTAACTTTTTAAAAACAACTGGCGCTTCCAGCAAGATAATGACTCGAAGCATATATAAGTCAGGTTGCTCAGGCATTTCTTAGCGAAAATCTTCTAGACTGACCTTCCAATAGTCCAGACTTAAACCAAATCAAAATCTTTGGACCATTGTTAAAAGAAATGTAGAAATGCATATGCCTAAAAATCTCAGAATTAGAGCAGTATTAAGTATAGGCAGAAGAATGGGATCGAATACCGTTCTAATTAACTGTATCAGATGTGAGAAAACAATAAATTATTAATTTTATATCTTTAGATTTTGAGCTTTATCTCGCAGTATTTTTTTTGTTATACACGTATGTGATATTATCCGAACATGTTACACGGCGGCGAATAAGAGATATTTCGCCGCGTAACACGTCGGAAAAATCTGACAATGGCTGATAAATATTTAAGCTCTTCTGTTTATAATTCGCGAGTCACTGAGATCACGGAGGCTATTTATCACAAACGACCATAGTAACGGAATCCATATTATGTGGTGAACGAAGGCCGTTGCATTGACCAAAGATCAATTGATATACAGTTCAGAGTCGCAAGCTGAACTCAAATAGTGTGATGGTCAAGCATCATATTCTTGAGTAAGCGGTCTATGAAGTATTCATGTGAATGCTATATTCTTTATTTATGAAATGGGAATTGACGTGTAATGCCATTATAAATTAAGCCGGAGAGTTTAGTGAGTTAGAATGCACGCTAACCAGGGTTTCGCTATCGGACGCGCTAGCTTCTCATCGCCACCTAAGCTATTCTGCTCAACAGCAAATCCGTCTACGAAACCCACAGCATCCCATTCTACGTCTCTTTGGTTATACCAACTTTCTTAGCAGGTTCCCTATCGCGGATTTCTTTTTTATCTTTTTCGCGGGGTTCTTTTTCGTGTGAATCCTTGTCTCGAGCCTCTCGAGCCTCCCTATCGCGAGATCTTTCACGAGATTCTCTATCGTGAGACCTGTCCCGATTGTCTGACCTGTCCCGAAGCTCCCGATGTTCCTTGTCCCGAAGCTCCCGATGTTCCTTGTCCCGATTGTCTGACCTGTCCCGAAGCTCCCGATGTTCCTTGTCCCGATGTTGATGTTCCTTGTCCCGATGTTCCTTGTCCCGATGTTCTCTGCTTCGAGGTTTGTCACGAGATTCTTTACTGGCCAGTTTGTCACGAGATTCTTTACCGGCCGATTTGCTCTCATTACCGCCCTATAGAATAAAACAACAAAACAGGCAAAAAAGGATATGAGGCTATTGAAAACTGCTTGTAAGCTAACGAGATTAGCGAATGTAAGACATACCTTAATATGATTGAATTTAGGAAGTGTTTCACGGAGATAGTCTAGATGGCGTGTGTGTAGATTTGTTTGCTACACGGACGAGACTTTGTTAGCACAACCGCAGAAAAGAAAAAGAAGCAGTAACAATAAAAATACAGTTAGACTTACATTTGTGTTAACAGTTTGAATTCTTCGGTTATGCATATCTCCATATATGACAGTGTTGTCGGGAATGACCTCATCTGTCCTTGTAGAACAAACAGCCCCAATTACACAGTTATCTCCCACAGTTGTCGTTCCCAGAACGCTAGCTGAATGACGAGTTAATAGAGAGAATGCACTAAACAAATATCGTTATGCATCATAGGTATATTTCACACCTTTGGCTTCTATAACATTTTTATTTCCAATCTTAGTCCCTTCTATATCTACAACAATTAGTGCATACAAGTTTAAAGACGCTTACTGGATATCAACAACAGAGAACTGAAAACTTATTCGGAAAGTGACTTACAGCATCCGACTTCAAACACATTGTCGTCACCGATTGTCAATGGCTTTGTTGACCTAATGCCAATTAGATTGAAAATTTATTTGTTAGTTTCGTTGCTAGTTATAAACGCGAATGCGATCAAGTCGGAATTTCAATTAAACATAATTCTGTTCTTTGACCTACTTGTTTACTATTATGACCTTCTCCTCGATTATATTGTTCGCTCCAATACGTATTGGACCTGATTCGGCCAATATTTTACATTGTGGATTTAATACCGTACCTACAAACATAGACATAAGAATGTAAGCCCCTGTATAGTTATGGGATAGTACATCGCTCGAAATTTATCAATCGTGTCTCACCTGCACCTACAATCAACAAAGTTATGTAATGTAGCCACATAATATTAGCATCATCTGTAGTAAACGCCCCGATGTGTCTCATCATATATATCGTAGTTCACATACCAACAAATATTTCTCCTCTCAATTCCGTATCCTGACAAACAATAGCTTGTTTCCCTATGGTTAGACTATCTTTATTTCTACAAGAGAGTCAGCAAGTTAACTACTATATCATAGGGTATCGTAGGCAATTTTACAGACATCCTACATAAGCCTCCAACACATTCATTCATATCTCCTGAATATCCCCTTCCAGTTTTTACCCGTACCGACCTTCCCATTTTACCGACGTAATAAGAAGACGAAACTCCTTCAACGGAGTTTACCTTTGCAGGTCTGGCGGTTGCTGCCATTATCTCGAGACAAATGAGTTCAAAGAGTAATTGGAAATGGAGTATACCAAGGTACTTTTTGGAGGGAAGCGCATGGTTACTTGGAACACTGTTACACTCATGATGATCAGCGTGGGTCAAAATGATCCGCACGTGAATATTCGTCAATAATGAGGGCTATAACTCGTAATCTACCAATTAATATTAAAGGCGCTATGTATGTTAATGATTTATGGTAATCTAATGGATAGACCGTTCGTTTTATCGTAATTAATATATTCTGATACATTCTCGCTACATAATCGACTATATTAATAGTATTCGCTAGTGCAATTGATGTATCGTTCTCTGGTAAGAATAATAAAACTACATATATAGTACGTTAATCGCGCAACTCATTTAAGATGCCAGCACTTTACGATCATTTGATGTTGCAGAGTATGGATAGAGAGAGCTGTAAGCCGGAGAATGTTCACTTTTGCGAAAATGCAGCATCTCGAGTTGATATGAGAATAAAAATGTATTCGATACTCTGTATTTTGTAGATTAAATGGACAAACAGGCATTATCGATGATTAGAAGAAATTTTCTTCCTTATGCCGCTATACATATAAGCATTTTGAATTGATACGTACCGAACTTTCTTATAAGACTGTAAGGTTTTCGGTATATTTAATCTGTCACAAACTCTGGCGAAATCGTTAGTGCGCACTGTTCATAGTAGAGTTACAGAGTTGCTGAAGACAGGTGAACCGCTACAAATATCAACAACTCACAGAGGTTTTTTTTCTTCATGGAGTTTATTCCTCATTATACATATGCCTTAAATGGTAATTATTTCGTTTGAGCGAATCTTGAGCTAATCGAGTAGTTCTATTTATGGTGGCATGTTATTGAAAGCGTGCTAACATGCCATCTATTTTTTATTAAATAAGACGTTTTTAAGTATCTGTGAGATCAAACCGTGTGTTGCTTCAATAGTAATCTTGTTGCTGTAAATCAGAGAAACAATAGTATTAATTAAAATACAAGTCATTTGCCATCTTGAAACACAAAGTTTTGTAGCTCTCACCTATCTCTCGTAACTTTGCTTAACGGTCCCTCTTCGACTTTCTTCTTGTCCCCAACATTACCAGCTGTGCTGGATGACCCACTTGGCCCGGCTGATGCCGACACGTTAGCTGTAGATGAAGATGCTGTTGGAGATGATGCACTTATGCGATTTCCACCCCCGAGGCCGCCAGTTACAAATCCAGCAATACGACCGCTTTGTTGAATTTGTGATTCTGTTTGTTCTAATTTCTCGGCCAAATCTGAGATTTGACGAGCAGCATACCCACGATTCTATACATTAATTAAATTAGTTGACGGGCAATAATACATGTTATAATTATAATATTTCGTTAATGCTTACTGCTATGAGTGGTGACTGCGATAAAGTATTGACCCAGTATTTGTTCCATAACAGCTCAAGTAAGTGAGTGTCAAGTGTTGATTTAAAGTATGAAATCTCCAATTGATAGTATCTACAAAAAATCAATTACGCATTATTAATCTGCCATTAACATATCAGAACAACCATAGTTGGAGTTCAATCTTACTGTTTACAGTGAACTCCAAAATCTTCAATTTTACTGAGCGGAATTGTCTGATACTCAGATGGGCCTTCATCCGGTGCTTTGTAACCCTAACGATTAGATGAGATGTGTGAGTATACTATAGCGACGTTAGCATATTACAAAACATTATAAAAGTACCTCTGGGTATGTTCTAAATGCTCCTATTTCTACTTTTCCAGCCGCTATCGTACGATTGGGATCAATCTAACGTTTGGGTAATGGTGTTAGTTAACAATAAATGAATGTTGCCTATTCCCAATCTATGTAATTCCAACTATCACTATCTGTACAACATTCAATACATACAACGACAGCAACCCATGGATCTTGGTACTGTTGATTGGACATTTGCGTGGTCACATCGATACCAGACAACCAACACCCATAACCAGGATGACTATGATACCACCCAACAATATTCTCGAGCCTGCCAGCCTACTCAAAGAGAAACAAGTTAGCAACCGCATGAAATACCAACAATGATTCATTTAGACACATAGAATATCCACCTGCTCAATGGTAGTCTGATATGTAACCATGTATTCATTAGCTTCATCTGCTGCGTTGACTCTTGTCTCTGTCCCCTCAACGGGCAACGCAAATGCATCCATAATTATAATAGTGCTGCCATCAATTTTGCCCTGCATTAGTCCCATGACTTCGATATTTCCTCCTGACCTAGCATGCATAACCTACCAGAGAAAAGTATGTTAGCGGAGAGTTGCTTAATTGGAAATCAGTAAAGACAGCAATAGAACCAAAGTGCCGAAGGTTCGAGCGTAGATGGAAAGGTCAATGTGACGCGCTGCATCATAACAAAAGCCGCAGAATCAAATACAGATACTAAAGTGTATATACACAATCGGATCGCATTATATATGCAACGATGGTTTATAAAGAGATGATAAATCTTACCATTTTTATGAGAGCCACCGCCGACATCTTGACTTTATTAAAATAATGAGGGCTAGAAGCAGAAGATTGGCAATGTGAATACATCAATCATCTCTCAACGAATGCTGAACCCCAGCAACCATAGTTTATTTTGCATATATTGCTCAATTATCAAACAAAGGTCCAAGCGATCATTCTTAAAATGCTCCAAGTATATTCACTATTATAGGTTGCATTCTTCATTTGCAACTCTTATTAACATTAATACAAATGAACCTACTCTTTGGTCCATGACTTCTCCGTCCGTGCTCGAGTCTGTTCTTGACTATCATATCGATAAATCCAGTCTTGTGTTGGATCGACTTCAGTAATGTTATTAGCAAATTCGAAGTTTTTGCGAGGTATATCTACATCCATTATGAAGAAGTTCCGTGTTGAGGAGAATGCGTAAGTGATCTACAACATTATACTGATTTTAGACGCAAGGATAAGCCATATATAGTAAAAGTATGTGATAATCTATATCACGTGTCACCGAAGACGCTTCTTTTAGAATCAAGGATAAACTATAAAAGGCAGATGTTTAAAACATTAAGCTTAGCTATGGATTTTAGCATTGTTTTTGCGTATGACAGCAAGAGTTCTATATATTAGGGAACTGCAAGTATAGAGTTGTCAGTCACATTTTAATTCAATTATTTACTTTTTTTTTTATTATAATAATAAAGATTAAAATGATTAAAAAATGTTGATTAACTTATAGCAACTATCTTTGACCATGACCATGAATATGAACTATGACTTATAAATATGACTATTTTGACATCCTCCAGGGATACACCGACTATTCTTTGACTATTCTTATTATCAAATCACCAGCATTAATCGAATCGCTCTCTTTCACAGCAACATAATCCACCCTTCCGCTGACTGGCGAAGAGACTATTGTCTCCATCTTCATTGCTGATAACACACAGATTGGATCGCCTACCATAATAGAGGCTCCAGCTAATTAAGAAAGAAGATGGTTAAAAGACTGTAGAACATAGATAGAGAAAAGTAATGTATAATTGCGATGCTTACGTTGGACTCGCACTTCGACTATAACACCAGGCATTGGCGCACCAATATCACCTGGTTTACCAGGATCGGCTACCTCCCTTTGAACACTTTCGACGGCTGCAGATGTTTGGTGAATAGATAAATGAAGAGTAAGCAAATTTGAATGTATACCAATGCGTAGCATTATGTGATAGTATGGCATAACGACGTATCCAATTTTGCAATTCCCGCATATCCTATTCTAATCGTTATTGCTATATTTCTCCCTCTCTCAACAATCCTTTCTACATCCCATTCCATCCACCACAAAAACTGAACGTACCTGCTCCCTTATCGACAACGCCAACTGCCCTAGACTCTCCATTCAACTCAAAGAATACTTCTCTCTTTCCAGTATGCGCATTCAGCGGTCCAGTAGCCAAGTACTTTATAATTAACGTCACACCCTCTTCCAACTCTACGCTAAACTCTTCTCCGATATCAGGCTTGGCTAGGAAATATCGAGTGGGAATGACGGATACATCACCATACATCTCGACAACCTCCCGGTATTCTCTAAATACGTCGGGGTACAACGCAGCCGAGCATACGTCAACATCGCGAACGCTGCGTTTATACTTCTCAACTAGTTCTAGTTTCTTGGCTTCGAAATCAAAGGGGGTGAGAGTAGCTCCTGGGCGGCCATCGACACGGGATTGATCTTTGATGATCTGTACGGAGTGTGCGTTTAATAAATGAGGGGGAAGCGTTATGAGCATATTTTGAATGGTAGTAATATCTGCATAAATAATGCACTACAGTCAGAGATGCGGATATATCTAATACACTAGACTTACATGAGAACGAAGAGGTTCTGGGAATCCACCATATGGTTGGCCAAGATATCCTTGGAAGAAATCTACAACCGATGTGGGGAAAGAAAGCGTCTGTGCCCTCTCGATTACCTAGAAGCGTATACAGAGTATGTGTTATTCGATTAGCACCCAGCGTCGTCGATGTAAATAAAGTTTTGCTAAATATTTCCGAGCCAACATTCTCCAACATTTTACACACTTACATCGTTATAGTTAAGTTTATTAGACACCATAAATTGAGCCAAGTCTCCAACAACCTTTGAACTCGGAGTGACTTTAATAATATCTCCACACAATTTATTCGCCTCGGTATACGCCTTTTTAATCTCTTTCCATTGTGTACCCAATCCCAACTGTTGCGATTGGAACATGAGATTCGTATATTGTCCGCCCGGCATCTCGTGATCATAAACAGATGAATCGCCGGCATGAACTCCCGACTCGAAACAGCTGTAAAGCATGCGACATTGTTCCCAGTAGCTGTTGATGGCGTGTACATCCTCTATACGAATGCCAGTGCCTAATTCGGAATGTTCTAATGCCGAGACTATTGCTCCCATGGATGGCTGAGAAGTTACGCCCGACATGCCTATTGATGTGGTGGTTGGTTCATGCATAATACAGACAATAAGTCGGATCTGTTTGATAATTCCTCTAATCCCTTTAACCTCTCTAATCCCTTTAAAATTCCTTACCCCAACCATCCGCTCCAACGCTACTTACTATCAATAGCCAGATCAATAATATCAGCTCCAGCCTTTGCCGCTGCCAACATGCTTGCGACACCGGTTCCAGCAGTATCGTGCGTATGCACATGAATAGGCAAATCAGGCCATTTCTTTCTAATAGCTCCAATCAACAATGTTGCAGCATTAGGTTTCAATAACCCAGCCATATCTTTAATGGCCAACACGTGTATACCCTCATTGACTAACTGCTCGGTAAGCTTGAGATAATAATCCAAATTGTATTTCGTCTTGTTCGGGTTAGACACGTCACCAGTATAACATACTGCTGCTTCAACTACTCCACCAGCCTTCTTGACTGCATCTATACCTAAACGGAGATTTTCGATGTAGTTGAGAGAGTCGAATATACGGAAAATATCCATTCCGGTTTCTTTGGCTTTTTTGCAGAATTCATAGACTACGTTGTCTGGATACGATGTGTAGCCAACGGCATTGGCACCTCGAAGGAGCATTTGGAAGGGAATGTTTGGAACTAGTGCACGAAGTTTAGCCTAATGTGAGAGAGTAAAACATCGTTGTAGAAAGAGTGTAGTGTTTGGGGGAATCAATCATCAGTAACTAGGCGCGTAAATATACTTGTCAATTGTATTAATTACTTACGAGTCTGTCCCATGGATCCTCGTATAAAAATCGCATGGTAACATCAAATGTAGCACCACCCCACATTTCTAAAGAGTACGCATTGGCAAGAGCATGGGATGTCTGTGGAGCAATATTCAAAAGATCTACAAAAGCGGAAAACCCGATCGATAATGTTAATATTCACTCAAGATTAATTTAACAATTTGATTACATACCAGCTGTTCTGACTCTGGTTGCCAACAGACTCTGATGAGCATCACGCCATGTAGTATCCATAACCAAGACACCTTTGTACTCTCTGACTGCTTTGGCGAATGCTTCCGGACCATCTTTAACAAGTATATGTCGCCATCCATGTTGAGGGGGCTTGTAGACATCGACCGGTTCTGGACCCGCCAATGATCGTATTGAAGGAAGTTCTATCTTTTGCTTAAACGCTGGCTCACCCTACAACAAGAAATAGGTTATTAACGTGTTTATATCAATCAAATACGTTGTCGTTTTTCGATCGCTACTTACCATTTGTCCTTTGATACTACTTCCATTGACCACCAAGTCACCCAAATATTTCAATACTTTCTGTGCCCGATTCTTGCTTTCGACCAATTTAAACAATTCCGGCGTATCGTCAATAAACGTAGTCCACGTCTTGCCCGACTTGAATGCCTCGTTGGTCAGCAATCTCTGCAAAAAGGGAATATTCGTCTGCAAACCACGTATTCTAAACTCTACTAATGCTCTCACGATCTTCCGGGTTGTTATTTCGTATTGCATGCCCCAACAAGTCACTTTCACGAGAAGCGAATCATAGTGTGGAGTAATCACTGCACCAGCATATCCTGCTCCGCCATCCAATCTGACACCATTACCGCCGGCAGACCGATAAACTTCTATTTTTCCAGTGGCAGGCTTGAAATTATCGGCGGGGTTTTCTGTTGTCACTCGGCATTGGATGGCATAGCCTCGTGTTTGAATGCGGTCTTGGACTAGATTAAGTGTAGATAAAAGAGCACCCGCTGCTATCTGAATTTGAGCGGAAACTATGTCGATACCAGTTATTTCCTCTATATATGTATTAAAAAAATGTGTTGTTGATGAGTAGGTAAGCAAGCGTATAAATGCCTGGGATGTATACGATTAGCTTACCCGTAATAGTGTGCTCGACCTGAATACGAGGATTGACTTCGATGAAATAATGTCTATTCTGTTGGTCTACCAAGAATTCGGCTGTCCCTGCATTTCGATACTTGATAGCGGTCGCAAGCTTTATGGCATCCGCCAGAATCTTGTCTCTGACTTCGGTCTAATCATTTGCATTTACAATTGCAAAACGATAATGATAATCAGTATTTCATCTCATCTAGTTCATCTCATCTCATCTCATCACGCTAGCAAAGAGAATTCCATACTCACAGACAGATTCATAGCGGGCGCAACTTCAACAACCTTCTGATGCCTTCTCTGCACGGAACAATCCCTCTCATATAAATGAACCACATTTCCCTCTTTATCAGCCAAAAGTTGTACTTCGATATGTCGTGGTTTATCGATAAATCGTTCCAAGAAAACTGTTCCATCTCCAAATGCCGACTTTGCTTCCGATTGAGCAAGCTTAAACGCATCAGAAAGATCATCAACTGACCTGACGACTCGCATACCACGTCCTCCACCACCCATTGCCGCTTTAATGATGATTGGAAGACCATATTCATTTACAAATGCTTTTGCGTCTTCAACAGATGAAATAGGTCCTGGTGTTCCTGGTACTACCGGCACTCCACATTCGATCGCTGGTCAAAGAAAAAGAATCGATTTACGTTAGCATGCGTATGAAATAAGGATGCAGAAAATGAAAGAAATTGTTGATCTGCATGGACAGTTTGTATATTGCCTGTTAATGCTAGGCTCAAAAAGGAGAAAGATTGCTAAGAATGGCACGTGTTGGAAAGAGCGACAAGAGTTGGAACAGGAAATTCATCGGCTTTCCCACCAGGACTCGTGCTTGAGAATGTATGCGTGCATTGTTGCTCACACACTTTGCGGTGGGTGGTTACTTACCTATCCGCCTAGCTTTCGTTTTATCACCCATCCTTTCAATCACATCTGGTGATGGTCCTATAAAGGTGATGCCAGCTTCTTCTACCTTCCTCGCGAATTCAGCATTCTCGCT